GGCAGTTGAAGTGACGGGAAGGTGGGGGAAGAGGAGGAGCAGGCGCGTGCTTGTTCCTCCTCTTCTCCCGCCCTCCTGTTTCTCCGCGTGCCCTCCAAAATGGCTTTGCATGCCAGAGATGGCACACATGCCATAGGTTCGCCAACACGTGGTTAAGGATATGTATGTGAGGAGGGAGATTAAACGGATGGTATGCAAAGGGAAAAGTTGATCGAAAGTGAGAGATAGCAGCAATTCAAGAACACGTTGAAAAGCAGTAGTTTTGAATTTGGACAGTACGTGTAAATTAAAATTAGGGAGATTCTGTTTGATTTAAAATATGCTTATTAATAGACAAGGTATTTAAGGTGTCAAAACACCTTGGGATGTTTGGACAGATCCCACTTAAGGATTTTTTAGACATCAGTTAATCCTATACCAGGATGTTAATGCAGTGTTTCTGTCCAACCCATGATGTCAAGTCTTGTTCAAATCCTTCCTCTCTGACATGTTAACTTTCCAGGACAAAGGGATACATGACATCCCACCTGGAGCCTTGATAAAGTCCAAAAGGACTGTATGTATGTACTTGCTGAATATGTAGCTTGGTTCTGTATCTGAGAAAATGAGATGTATTCAGTACTGCTAGCTACGTTCACGACCTTCCTTGTTCGATGTTTGGTTATTCTGGAGCAGCTGACTTCTGAGTTTAAAAAACCAGGGAAATTTCCCGGGCTGAAAATTATTTGAAAAAGCACTTCAGTTTAAGTGACTGGGCAGTTACAAAGATAAGGACAACTGTGGCCAGGTGAGATTGGATTTGTCACTTGGAGGCCTGGGCTCTCTTGCAGACCTTTTCACCAATTCATTGAGTGAGTCATCTGTTGTCTCCTCCCAGGAACACTACACATCTTCACTCTATCCAGGGCAGGACGTTGGTGTCTGTAACTACACGTCTGTTATCAGCATATATATTTATTTTAAAAATTGTCTGTGAAGCGTACATGTTTTTCAGATGTGTTTTATCTTGCAGTGAAAGATGTTAAGTGAAAGATGTTAAGTGCAGGTTATATGGGAAATGCTGAAAGAGTTATATAAGTTTAATCATTGCTTGGCATGTTTCTAGCTGATATAGAACTTGAGTCACTATGGCCTAAGGTTACAGGAAACGTCATTGTCTACCTGGCGTTTTTATCTCCACCCTTTCCTCCTTCTCAGTAATACCCAATTGTTTGCTTTTAAAACTATTCTCTTCCATGACCTACACTCCACAGTATATGCTGTCTCTTGTCATTGCTTCCTTTTTCTCCCTTGCTCTTCCCCTTAAACTCTGCTTCCA